AGGGTTCGCAATTGCGAACACCGTGTCGCAAATGCGACATCAGCAGGTAGTTAAAGGGCTGGGAGTCGGGATTTTGAAAATATTCTCTCATTTTTGAACCCTAGACTCGGTAGGAGTCGATTTGGAGAGGGGATTTTCACCTACAAACTTTGGGTAAGTGATTCTAATCCATTTCTAATCATATTCCCTCAATATATCTTAGATTTTAACATCAAAATCATGTGAATCAAAGTGAAAATTTGTGAAACTTTTCCAAGTTTTGGAAAATTAGAAATTGAGTTTTGAGAGTCGATTTAGACTCGGATTTTGAAGCTAATCACATATATAAACTCGTGAGGTCATGGGTAGTCGGAATCTACCATTGGACCCGAGTTTTTGCGGGCGAGTCTCGGGTTGACTTTTGTTGACTTTTTGGGAAAAGTGTAAAGATCATAGTTTTTTCTATTGTAATTGATTTCTCTTTCATTGTTTGATGATATTAAGTCGATTTTAGTTAGATTTGAACTTGTGGAGGCGAATTTTAAGGGAAAAGCTATTTCGAGTGTTGAATTTACCTAGTTGAGGTAAGTATCTTGCCTAACTTTGTGTGGAGGAACTAACCCTTAGGATTGGTATTGATTGATTCATTTATGCTATGTGAAAATCGTGTATGCAAGGTGAGGAGTGGTGACATGGGATGCACATTGTATTTGACTGGTTTAGGCTACTTAGACTATTTCCATGCTTTAACTGAAATGCCATATCATGTTCTAAATTCTCATATTCAATCTATTCTTGTTTATGTTAGTCTATCCTTACATGCCTTAATTGACTTTTTTAACACTTGTTCTATATCCTACTTGATAAATTGCTCTCATGACTTGGTTGAACTTGTTGCGTTTATTTGATACATGTCTCATCTCTTGAAGTCATTGTACGTATTATCTCTTTCATTGTTAATTTTTATTATTGAAGTCATTGTTACTAGTTTTCTCTTTCGTTGCTATTATTCTCATTTGAAGTCATGTTATTCCTTCCATTGTGAGTTATTTGTATTTGGTTCGTAGTTACACGTTATCTTTCTTACTGTTGGGTTATTGCTGTTGAAGCTGTGGAACCGAATCATTTTGAAGCAAAGTTGATAATGTTAAGATATCTTTCTTGTTGAGAGTTTTACATTTATTGTTATTGTTGATATTCATGTACACATTGTGGTGGAGACATGGGCTATTGTTGTGAAAATATTGATAGTGTTGAATGTTCGCATGTTGTGATATATGGGCACTTGTGGTGCAAGTTGTTATTGTGATGTATTATTGACGCGCATGCGCCGGTATATGGCTTGGGGTTAATGTGCATGCGATGGTATAAGGTGGGACTTATGTGCGCGTTGCTTGTAGGGGAACTACGTGAAGCCACATGGCATCATAAGGTGGGCTAAAGTGCGTGTAGCTATTTCGGGAAAACTGTTTTCAAAACCCAATTCAAATGTAAGGCTCACGCACGGTATAAGGAAAGATAGTGATTGAGATTGTGAATTGTAAATAAGAGGCGGTACTAATCACGCCCAACTATGCCTTATAAAAGACAAAGCGGTCGTTGCAAATATAATCTGGTTTAAAAGTCCGGAGTTGAATCATCAGGGAACTAAACCTATCGATTACAACTCTTAGTGATGCTAGTACAGGCTCAAACAATTTTCGGATGCAAGATTTTTATCAATAAATATTGGGATTTGTTTAACTAAATTAAAAGGATATTAAAACTAACGATATTCCAAATTAAAAGATAATTCAATGGTAAAAAGATCTAGGGTATTGATTTCCCCAATTGCTAGTTTAATTCTTAACTCTTTTGCTATAATCTCGCCGTAATACTATATGAGGATTATGAGCTATGTGTTACCGCAATTATCTCTCGATCAACTACAATAATTTACTAGAGCATTCTCTCGAACTACTCTAGCTGATAATTTATGCAGCTCTGAATTATCCCACCAAAGTTCCGTTATTTCTAACCCCACTTTTAAATTCAAATAATGAATCTCTTCAATTACCCAAAAGTGGTGTTGTTCAACAACAATCTAACCTAGTATTCTTTCTCAAGCAACACGAGGCAATTAGACACGATTAATCAAGGGCCCATTCAATTAATCACTATACAAAACACAGTTGAACAATCATATAATAAACTCGGCTCGATTATAACAAAACTGAGTCAAAACTTCATCTAACAATTGGTTCCATCAACACTAGACTAAATGTTTAGCTACTCATAGTAAAACAAAATAAAACCATAAAATCATTCATAATTCACAAAATAATGATAACAAGAAGAGGAATGAAAAACTCTAATGCTGTCTTGATCTTCTCACACTTGTTCTTGCCTCTAATTGAGTCTAAAAACAAGCTTAATCTTGACTTGGGCGAGTTTGTTGAGTTTATATAGGGTTAGGATCAGTTTCCCACGCTTTACACTTTAGCCCTTAAACATTCTTGGGCTTCTCCAGATCGACCGCGGTCGCAGGGCAACCGCGCCACGACCACGGTCATTTCAAACACTCTATTTTCCGCTTTTCTTTCACCGCGTTCCAGCCGCGGCCCTACCGCTGTCGCGATGGGCTGTTACCCGATTTTTTTCTTCGCCTTATCTTGCTCGTTTTCATCCGGGCTCTTCTTGATTGGACTTGTATCTACATAATTTACCCCAAAACACTCTATATCCTCCTCCTAACTCGGGGTAGTTCCTGTAAAGCATAAAAAAACTCAATTAGACTCTATATCCTCCTCTCTAGCCATGTAATGTCCCTAACCGGCTTTCATACTCTCAGTCAGAGGTCCAAACTTACCTTTCCTTCATGAATCACGTGCCTACTCACCACAAAAGAGACTTGTTCCATGTCATTATAAATCACACACTGAGGAATTCAAATACGTAAGATTTCACTCACCCTCGGAAATAAATTCTTATGCCACAAGCAACGCACCATAGGCTTGCCCGTAGTGTAATACTCGACTAATCGAGCTCTTTTGGTCTAGAATCAAGTAGGACTTTATTTGGTTGTAATGTTGGATGTGGGACAGGTAGGATATATATGGGTATAGTGACTACACCTCCCTAAGCACTCAATACACTTTCCGCTTTCAAGCCCATACCTTTATCAAACCTTCATTCCACCTTAACATTATTGAGTTAAACCCCTACTTCTTTAAGCACACTTTCTCTTTTATTTGAGACTTATTCTTGTAAAAATTATTCAGCTTAGTCTCTTTTTTTTTTCTTTTTTCAGATTCTTGTGGCTTGTTATATTGTTTATCACATAGTACACCCCTTTTGTTTTTATGTCTTCTTGGTTCCACTCGAAAGCCCAACCAGCCACCCCACACTTTAGCTTTTCCATATTCATTAAAATCAAGTACTTCTAAGAGGTTATAGGGTTCAAAAAAAGATAGACAATTCACAACTTGGATAAGGCTTGTACTGTGGTTGCCAAATAAACAGGATTACAGGCTCAAAAGGGTTAACTAGGATATACACAATCAGGTGGGTGAAAACATATATAGATAGGTTCAACAAGGAAACGGCTATATGACTTTCCAGACCAATTAAGACTACCATTTCTCTTCGTACACACACAGGGCAAGTACTAGGCATTGAGTGTTAACATAGAATACACAAAGCCTCACTCACACATGGCACATGACTCAATTCAGTTAGGACCATCAGACACTCTGCTCAAGTTGCTTAAGCCAACTCAAGAACACACAATTTAAGGCTTTATTGCTAGATTCAACTAATGATCCTAAGTGTCACACTAAAGCAATCTCTATTCAAGGTACCGTGGAGTCAAGGGATCCTATTTCTAGTCTTTCCTCGCCCAAAAATTCCTAAACTAACAAAAAGAAAAAAAAACTAACTACAGCCGATTCAAATAGAAACCCTTGGAAAAGAACCGTGGTTTAAAGAAAAACCAAGGGGGAGTTGATACACTACCTAATAGAAGAAGATCTTTTTTTTGTTGGACTTAAGTCCCTCAAGAGACCCGTCGAGAGGTGTCCGTCTTCGGGCCAAGTCGAAGTTAATTAACAACAACCAAAAACACCAAACAAATTTATACAATTGTACAACAACAACAACCTTCACCCACCCCACACTTCAAGATTAGGCATGTCCCCATGTCAAAGAAATTAAAGCAGAGTAAGGTAAGGGGACTTCCCTGGTGCTCAATCCTGATCGAAGACGGTGCCAGGATCGAGGTGACACGCTCATCCTAGCGCCCGGAGCCAGCCCATGATCTTTTTCTCTGACCTGGCATTTTGAGTTGCCAAGGTGTCAACTCTAGCATTCAGGTCATTGACTAACGTGCGTAGGCCAGCCATCTTCTGTTCCAAAGCTGTCATCCGTGTACTCCGGCGGGCCTGTGATGGGCCTGCCTCATCAACAATCTACACCGATGGGGCGGCAGCATGCATAGCTCCCTCATCATCATCGTCGGTATCATCATCATCTGCTACAGCCTGCTCTTTCCCAACTATGATTTTGCTAGCCTTGAATGGGCTTTTAATGGCACTTTCCCATCTACTATGGGATTTTCAGGAACTCGTAAAGCATGACGCAGCTTAGTGACAGGGAAGGGATGTAGAACCCTTTGAGTATTTTCGGGGAGCGAATGAACATTTCATCCCGAATGAGCCGGGCCACATCAAAATCGTGTTGGGTCATAAAAAAATAAATCGTCGCTGCTCTTGGCCCATTAACATCCGTAGTGTTGCTGGATGGCAGCAAACGGCTATTGATGATTGTTAGCCAACACTTAGCTTCCTAAGTGAGAGATTGGGAGTTCAGGGTAATTCTCTGCTTTATCCATATTGGATCCCGGCCAGCCACACAGATTGTTTCAACAATTAGTTGCCACAGACAGGTGGGCGTTGATAATCTTGGTAATAATTCGTCTCTCCAGTGAATACCGGTAACCTGTACACTCGGCGGATGGCTTCAAGAGACGCATTCACCGGGGTGTTTCATACAGTGACAACCCTATCAACATATTCTGGGCAATTTGCGTAAAATTCCCTGACCATCGGTACATTGCCCTCTTCCAGTTCATTAAAGAAGATGTCCAGCCGACGCCTCCTCAATTCTTCATAGATGCTTGGGCATTCAACTCTCAAGGCATGCCTATCAATGTGTACTTCAGGCAACAGCTTCTTGGATGACTTTGCATTAAACCTATCTTGAGCCGCTTTGGAGACAAACCGAGTGCGCTCAAACTGGTCTAAACTAGCCTAAGCTCGAGCTCTGGATGAACCTCCTGGTCCAGTAGTGGAGGAACCTGTGGCACGTCTTTTCCTTGACTGATGCATTGTACCTGACAAAACAAAGGCTACTATTTGTGAGGGTGCGAGTTGTGTGAACCCTGGGTGGTTACTCAGACTTTACCACCACCATGGTCACATTAGCCATTACAGATCCATTAGGGCAATTTCACAAGCACCTAGTGTCCATGGAACTATGATTTAACACACCTATCCCATGGAAGTATAAACTATCCCCCCAAATCAACCACAATCACTTCACAACTCCACCCTACCACAATTAACTTCACACAACAACACCATGCCCTTCTCTACTACATTATACACATTACCCACTAAAAAGAAGAGAAGAAAACTACAAATCTAACTATAGATACTACAACAGATCAAACATTAAAATTGCAAAAGAGAAGGGGAGAAGAGGAGAGAAGAAAATCATAACATACCTGATTCTTGTAGAGTTGGAGTGTAATGGAGGTTGGGGAGGAGAGAGTCGGAAGTGTGGGGTGGGAGAATTGAGTTTGTGAGAGATGGGAGGAAGAAGAAGGGGCGTGGGGTTAAGGATTTAGAGTAACAAGAGGAGTGGAGGAAGTGGGGGGGGGTAGGTTTTATTTTTAGTGGGTTTAGAAGAGAAAAAGAAAAGAAAATAATAAAAAAAATTTAATTACAACTTACCTAGGCGGCAGAATGGTCGCGATTCACCACGCCCGTGCCGCGGTCCGACCGCGGTCGCGATGAAAGAAGAATGACAACGGTGGCCCAGAAGCAGAATACGTCAAATTTGCCGCGCACGGGCCACGGGCCACGGTCCCACCGCGGTCGCGGTCACGGGCTTCCGAGAAATTTTTTGTTTTTCTCAGTTTTTTACCTTTCCAGAGTTGGTTCTTAACCCCGACTTCTCCTAATATGCACCAATCTTGCCCTATACACTAATAAAAGGGTTAGTTTCATACACATCAAGTACAACATCAAAACAAAAAACAAAATAAAAGAAAAAGAAACAAAAGAAAACATGGGTTGCCTCCCAGCAGCGCCCGATTTAACGTCGCGGCACGACGCTGGCTCATATCATCACTCCTCATTTGTGTATTGGGGCTCCTCCAACGTTATCACCACGTTGTCCCCTTTTTCTTCTGTCATTCCAAGGTAATGTTTCAACCTCTGCTTATTCACTGTGAATTTGTTCGTCCCATCTTCATATTCGATCTACACAGCTCCACTTGGGAACATTTGCACCACTCTGAACGATCCTGACCATCGGGACTTCAACTTACCGGGGACAACCCCAATCTTGAGTTTTACAGCAGCACTAATTCTCCGAGTTTGAAGTTTCGATCTAAGATGTGCTTGTCATGCATCAGTTTCATCCTTTCTTTATATAGTCTAGCACTCTCGAATGCTTGGAATCGGAATTCCTCAAGCTCATGCAACCCATTAACTCTGTTGGTGCCCGTTTTCTCTATGTTTAAGTTCGGCTGCTGCAATGCCCACAGTGCTTTGTGTTCGAGCTCAACTAGAAGGTGTCATGCCTTTCCAAATACCAACTTGTATGGTGACATACCAATTGGAGTTTTGAAGGTTGTGCGGTATTCCCACAATGCATCATCTAGCTTCCTTTCCCAATCAGTTCTTGTTGCATTCACTGTTTTTGAGAGGACACTTTTGATTTCCCTATTGGACACTTCCACCTACCCACTTGTTTGTGGGTGGTATGGTGAGGATACCTTGTGGCGAACTCCATACTTCTCCAACAGGCGTGCAAACGCTCTGTTGCAAAAAAGAGAGCCACCATCACTGATTATGGCTCGGGGGTGCCAAAACGTGTGAAGATGTTTTTCTTGAGAAAACTGGTCACACCTTTCGCATCATTGGTTGGGAGAGCAACTGCTTCGACCCACTTGGAGACATAGTCAATGGAAACCAGTATATACTTGTTACCATATGAGCTGACGAAAGGCCCCATGAAGTCGATCCCCCACATGTCAAACACTTCCACCTCTTGGATTATGGTCATTGACATCTCATGACGACGGGATATGTTGCACGTCCTTTGACATTTATCACAGCCTTTGACCCAAGCATGGGCATCCTTGAACAATGTAGGCCAATACAGGCCTGATTCCAGCACCTTTGTTGTTGTCTGAATTCCTCCAAAGTGTCCACCATATGGCGAAACATGGCAAGCCTGCAAAACAGAGGGTTGATCTTGCTCGGAAATACACCGCCGGATCATGTTATCAACACAGATTTTGAACAATAGGGGTTCATCCCAAAAATACGCACGACAATCACGGAAAAATTTCTTCTTTTGAATTGAGGAGAGATCATGAGGTACAATACCACATGCTAAGTAATTAGCAATATCAGCATACCATGGTGCCTCCTCCATTATCACAGCAAGTAATTGCTCATCCGGGAATGTCTCAATGATATCTTCAACCTCCGTTCTCTTTTCTGCCCATTCCAACCTCGAGAGGTGGTCTGCTACTTGGTTGTCTGTCCCCTTTCAATCACGAATCTCCAGGTCAAATTCTTGTAGCAACAGAACCCAGCGAATCAAGCGGGGCTTTGACTTCTTCTTTGCTATCAAGTACCTAATGGCTGCATGGTCAGTAAAAATAATAACTTTCGAGCCAATAAGGTATGACTTGAATTTGTTGAAAGCAAACACTACTGCGGGCATTTCCTTTTCCGTGACCGTATAGTTCAGTTGTGCACCGCTATGCGTCCTGCTTGCATAGTAAATTGTGTGCATAATTTTCTCCTTGTGCTGCCCCAAAACCGCTCCTATAGCGTAATCACTGGCATCGCACATCAGCTCGAATGGTTGCTCCCAGTTGGGTGCAAAAATGATGGGTGCAGTCACCAATCTCTTCTTCAGCTCCTCAAATGCTAACCTGAAATCATCAAAAAACATAAAGTGCTGGTCTTTTTCAAGCAGCTTACATAAGGGGTTAGCAATTTTTGAAAAATCCTTGTTGAACCGCCTCTAGAATCCGGCGTGCCCATGGAAATTTCTCACTGCTTTTATTAAAGTGGGTGCTGGGAGCTTCTCAATCACATCAACTTTTGCATGGTCTACTTCAATCCCCTTTTTGGACACTCTATGCCCCAACACTATGCCTTCTTGTACCATAAAATAGCACTTCTCCCAGTTCAGCATCAAATTTGTCTCCACACATCATTTGAGCACTCTTTTAAGGTTGTGAAGACAATCTTTGAATGAATCTCCTACCACAGAGAAATCATCCATAAACACCTCCATAATTTCTTCGACCATGTCGGTGAAAATGGCTAACATACACCGCTGGAATGTGGCCGGTGCATTACAAAGTCCAAAGGGCATCCTCCGAAAGGCAAAGATGCCATACGAACATGTGAAGGACATTTTCTCTCTATCTTCCGGGGCTATTGAGATCTGATTGTACCACGAGTATCCGTCTAAAAAACAAAAATAGGATCGCCCAGCTAACCTGCCAATATCTGGTCAATGAAGGGCAAGGGGAAATGGTCCTTTCGGGTAGCTGCATTTAATTTTCTGTATCTATGCAAATCCGCCACCCTGTGACTGTACGAGTCGAGATCAACTTGTTCTTTTCATTTTGTACAACTGTCACTCCACCTTTTTTCGGTACACACTAGACGGGGCTTACCCAATTGCTGTCAGAGATGGGATAGATGATGCTCGCGTCCAGCCACTTGATTACCTCCTTTTACACTACCTCTTTCATATTTGGGTCCAGCCTTCGTTGATGTTCCCTGGAAGGTTTGTTCCCTTCTTCCAGATGAATCTTGTGCATGCAGAAGGCCGGGCTGATACCCTTTATGTTTGCCATGGTCCAACCAATGGCAGTTTTGCATTCCTGCAACACCTGCAGTAATTGTTCTACCTGCACAGCTAGCAAACCAAATGATATAATAACAGGCAAAGTAGAATTGGGACCCAAGAAAGCATACCTGAGGTGGGCTGGAAGCGGTTTCATCTCTAGCTGTGGTGGTTCCTCTATTGATGGTTTTGCAGGTGGTGTAGCCCGCTCTTCTAAATTCAGGGGCTCGAACTCAGGTTCCCTCTTCCAGAATCCTTGGCCTTCAAGTGCCATGAACCACTCTGCCAACCCTTCACCATCTATCTCCTCTAAATTTGTCAAGAAATCTCCCAATGGATCTTTGGCATTCAGGGTCTCATCGTCTTCGTATAGGATCACATCCACAGCTTCCACTAGTGAACAATTTGCATATTCACTGGGTCTCCTCATGGATTGTTGAACATTGAATATTACTTCTTCATCGTTCAACCTCATTTTTAATTCCCCAGTTTCACAATCAATCAATTCACTCCCAGTGGCTAAGAATGGCCTCTCCAGAATGATGGGTATCTCCTCATCTACCTGGCAGTCCAAAATAACAAAGTCTGTAGGGAATACAAACATTCCCACTTGTACCAGCACATCATCAAGAATCCCCGTCGGTCTTTTAACCGTGCGATCAGCTAGTTGTAACAGCATCGATGTCGGTCTAGCTCTTCCAATGCCCAGTTTTGTATATATTGCCAAAGGCATCAAGTTTATGCTAGCTCCTAAGTCACACAATGCTTTTGCAAAAGCATAACTCCCAATAGTGCAAAGAATAGTGAAGCTACCTGGATCAGACATCTTTTGAGCCATGGGTCTTGTCACTACCTCGTTGCATGTCTGTGTTAGAGTTACTATGGACGGGTCCTGAAAGTTAAATTTTCGTGATATCAAGTCCTTCATCATTTTTGTATAGCTTGGCATTTCCCTGGAAGCATCCATCAAAGGGATATTCAATTGAATCTGACGAAGCATCTCCGTGAATTTCTTGTATTGATCTTCTTTCTTTTGTTTTTCCAGTCTGTGAGGGAATGGTGCAGGCATCACTCTTTGTCCATTGCTTGCTGACTGTTCTTTATTGGAATTTTGTGGCACAAGAGGTACCACCTGTTCTGCAACTTGTTCACTTTCTTTAGCCTTACCCTTATCAACATGATCCTGTTCAACCACCACTTCAGTGAGTTCTGCTGATTCATCTATCTCTAATGGATCTAGAGTGGCTGGTGTAGTCTCTCGTCTGGATTGAGCAACTTCTTGCTCCCTGTCTAAGTCTCTCCCATTCCGGAGACTTACTGCCATCAGCTGATTCGGGTTTGGCTCCTTAGGGTTAATGTTTATGTCGGCTGGCAATGTTCCCTGGGGGCGGTTATTTAAGGCCATGGACAGCTACCCCAATTGAGTTTCAATGCCTTTAATTGCTGAGTCATGCACTACCAACTTTTCCTGCATTTTACCATTTGCTCCAATGAGTTGTTGCAGCATACCCCTGATTTCTACCATGTTTCTATCCTGTTGTTGATGAGGTGGCTGATATGTCAACTGTTGTTGGTGCTGCTGTTGATAGCCCTATTGTCTCTGACATGGCACCATTTGGCCTTGGGGCCGCATACCTCCCGGTTGTGGCATGTTCGGTATGTACTACTGGTTGGGTGCTGGTGCCTATTGTTGTCCTCCTTGCCTGTGACCCCCAAAATTGCTGACATAATTCATATCCTCTCTTAACCCTTGGTTGTCACCTTCTCCACTCCATGAACACAAATAAGACTGATTAATGCAAGGTGTACACAGTCCTCTATTTGTTGTGCCAACTATATGTACTTGCTTTGTAACCATCTCATCAATCTTCTTTGTTAGTATATTCATCTGAGTCATGAGTGTGGCTATGTTCTCTGCATGTGAATAATTTGGGTCAAGAGGAACTGAATGCACTATTGGTGATAGGGTCGTACCTCTCGTCATTCACCCTGAATTCTGGCCATCTTGTCAAGAAGGATTTTACACTCTGTGAATGTCTTGCTCGGGAATGCACCCCCAGCTTAAGCATCTACATTAGCTTTTAAAGTGTCTGCTAACCCCATCTAGAATCTCTGGCCGAGCATCTGGTTTGGAATACCATGATGGGGACATTTCACTAGCATCCCTTTGAATCTTTCCCAAGTTTCATGCAAGGTCTCAGTGGGCGTCTGCTTGTACTGCAATATCTCATTAATCTGTCTTGCAGTCTTGTTGGGCGGGTAAAATTTGTTCAGGAACTGGTTGACTAATTCCTCCCAAGTGGTAATAGAATTTATTGGGAGCGAATTTGCAAAGTCTGAGCCTCTCCAGTCACAGAGAACGGGAATAGTAACAGCTTGATGGATTCTGGGGTCACATTTGGCTGCCTTTGGGTCACACAAATTGACAGAAAATTTTTGAGGTGTTGTTGAGGGTCTTCAATGTGTGACCCGGAGAACAATCCTTTATTCTGCAGAAGATGCAGCATGTTGTTAGTAATCAGGAATGTCCCCGCTTGTATTTGGGGCACAGCAATGGCGGTGGCCAGGTTGTCAGCTGTTGGTTGTGCCCAATCATAAAGTGCAGCTTCTAGCACAAAAGGTGCCACCACTGCTTCGTTTGGCACATTGATGTTTTCCTTGTTGTCCATTTCAGTTGCGAGTTGGTGTGTTTGTTGTGATTGTTTGTTCTTCTTGTTGACACAGTTTAATGCCCTGAATGTTTTTTCGGGGTCTGAGAGTCCTTCAAGCAGTTCACCGATCCTCGAAGAATTTCTAGGCATACACCTGAATCACACAAGAGTTCAAACGTGAGAATTTCAAAGAAAAATTATTTAACATCGTAGAAAATTGATCTAAACTAATAATTCTAGCACTACTTCTAAGTTGCAATAAATAACACCGTTAGTTCCCCAGCAACGGCGCCAAAATTTGATCATGCCCAACTATGCCTTATAAAAGACAAAGCGATCATTGCAAATATAATCTGGTTTACAAGTCCGGAGTCGAATCCTCAGGGAACTAACCTATCGATTACAACTCTTAGTGATGTTAGTACAAGCTCAAATAATTTCCGGATGCAAGATTTATCAATAAATATTGGGACTTTTTTAACTAAAGTAAAAGGATATTAAAAACTAACAATATTCCAAATTAAAGATAATTCAATGGCAAAAAGATCTAGGGTATTGATTTACCCAATTGCTAGTTTAATTCTTAACTCTTTTGCTATAATCTCGCCATAATACTATATGAGGACTATGAGCTATGGGTTACCACAATTATCTCTCGATCAACTACGATAATTTACTAGAGAATTCTCTCGAAATACTCTAGCTGATAATTTATGCAACTCTGAATTATCCCACCAAAGTTTCGTTATTTCTAACCCCACATTTAAATTCAAGTAATGAATCTCTTCAATTACCCAAAAGTGGTGTTGTTCAACAACAATCTAACCTAGTATTCTTTCTCAAGCAACACAAGGCAATTAGACACGATTAATCAAGAGCCCATTCAATTAATCACCATACAAAACATAGTTGAACAATCATATAATAAACACGGCTTGGTTATAACAAAACTGAGTCAAAACTTCATCTAACAATTGGTTCCATCAACCCTAGACTAAATATTTAGCTACTCATAGTAAAACAAGATAAAACCATAAAATCATTAATAAATCACAAAATAATGATAACAAGAAGAGGAATGAAAAACTCTAATGGTGTCTTGATCTTCTCACACGTGTTCTTGCCTCCAATTGAGTCTAAAAACAAGCTTAACCTTGACTTGGGCGAGTTTGTTGAGTTTATATAGGGTTAGGATAAGTTTCCCACGCTTTACACTTTAGCCCTCAAACTTTCTTGGGCTTCTCCAGATCGACCGCGGTCGCGGGCCAACCGCGGCACGACCTCGGTTATTTTAAACATTCTGTTTTCTGCTTTTCTTTCACCGCGTTCCAGCTGCGGCCCTACCGCGGTCGGGGTGGCTGTTACCCGGTTTTTTTCTTTGCCTTATCTTGCTCGTTTTCATCCGAGCTCTTCTCAATTGGCCTTCTATCTACATAATTGACCCCAAAACACTCTATATCCTCCTCCTATCTCGGAGTAGTTCCTGCAAAGCATAAAAAACTCAATTAGAGTATTTTGTTATCATTTAGCACTTAAGACATCTATAAAGTATGGTTAACTTCGAGCATGAATAGCATCTACATCGCATAATATAGGCTACTATCAGGTACCTCATTTGTGATTCTTGATACAAATACACGAGGTAGGTTCATATTGTACATGAGGCGGTACCTCATTGTGATTCTTGTTGTTTTCTTCTATCTTGGTTTTGTTAGTTGATTGTCTATATATAATCATTATGGTTCTCTTTAACTGATTTTGTTTATGTTATTTTCGTGCTTACAATTTCAGTCTACTTCATGCTTTTAACTGTTTCGTATCAGTAATTTCTCCGCTTTACATTATTTATCCTTATTATATTTTCATACTATTTATTTATATCCTAGTAGGTGTCTTGACCTGGCCTCGTTACTACTCTACTAAGGTTTAGACTTGATACATACTGGGTACGATTGTGGTGTACTCATACTACATTTTTGCACATTTTTGTAGAGATCCAGGTACGTCTGCTCGTGCCGGTCATTAGAGATCATCTATTAGCTGCTTTACGACGACTTCAAGGTATGCCTGATCGGTGTCTGCAGGCCTCGGAGTCACCTTCCTTTATTTTTTTTACTATTATATTTTCTTTCAGAGTGATGTTGTAGTAATTTTAGTTATACTCTGTAGAGCTTATGACTCAGTTCCACCGGTCTTAGGGAGTGTATTGTTGATGATTCTGTTTTCGGAAGTTTATATCAGTTATTCAACCTTGTTTTAGTATTCAGTTAACTTTTTCCATCAAGTTATTATTAACTGTTAGGCTAACCTAGTCGTAGACTAGGTTCCATCACGATATCCTACGGAGGAAAATTAGGATCGTGACAAGTTGGTATCAGAGCTCTAGGTTCATTGGTTTATGAGTCATAAGTAGCTTTAGTAGAGTCTTGAGGATCGGTTCGGAGACGTCTGTACTTATCTTCGAGAGGCTACGGAACAGTTAGAAAAAACTTCACTTCTTTGATTCCTTATTCTTCGCACCATGGGTATTGTGGAGATGAGTGGGGTTGCTTTTACTACATTCTAGCTGTTCGGAGCAACAAATATCTTGTAGTGAGTGTATGAGGAGGGTAGCCCAGCCGAAGCAACTTCACTTACATGGACTCGATTGTTAGAGTTGTTCTTGAAAGAGTTTGTACCTCAGACCCTTCAAGATGCATGGCACGCAGAGTTTGAGCAGTTGCGCCAAGGTACTATGACAGTGTCGGAGTATGTTGTTCGATTCAGTGATTTGTTAAGACATGCACCCGCCATGGTTTACAATCAGAGAGCGAGTTCGTCAATTCATCGAGGGGCTCAACTATAGGATTAGGTTCAGCATGGCTCGAGAGTTGGAGACAGATACCCCATATCAGCAGGTGGTAGTGATTGCACGGAGGTGGGAGGGTATGCAAGGCCATGAAAGAGAGGACAGGGAGGCCAAGAGGCCTCGAGTGTCATGCCCCAAACCTGGGGAGGCGTGGCCGCACCTGGTGCCATATATGGCCCGGGCGTACCATTGTTTAACTATGAACTCTGGAGGGGTAACCCTCAATATAGGATGACGAGGCCTGCCTGCAAACTAATAATACCAATCAAGGACGACAAGGCCACCATGAATGTCTACAACCAGCCATACCAAACTAACATGTACACAGGACTGGTAAGGCCACAATACTTATATACAAAATATACAGGACTCGTCTACAATCCTCTAGAAATAACTAAATTGTATCATGGTAGGGACAGGGCCTCGACCTACCCATCAAACCTGTATATATTAAACAGACTCCAAGGTCTAGACCTGGTAACTCCGAGGAAGTGGAGCTTTCCAACCAAGCTGATGTTTGCCTTTGTCTACTGGAAAGGTCTATCCAGTTGTCTATTAGGACCTGCAGGCATGAAATGCAACGTCCCTAGAAAAAAGGACGTCAGTACAAATAATGTATTGGGTATGTAAGGCATAAAAATTAGTAAATAAAATATGTGAAAGAAACATGGAACAAAGGATTCAACCTGTAAAGCTGAATAGCTTGGTGAATCATGAAACATTTATAATCTCATGTATATGCGTATAGTTGTCATACCATGCATAGGTATATGCGCACATAACATCATCAAGCCTCTGAGGGCATCCCATCATATTATCTCAGCCTCAATGGGTGAAATCATCAATGTATGCTAACTGATCAGGTGGTGGTGCGTATATAACGCCATATCCTTTTCCCATACACCA